CGATATATTGCACAAAATTCGTTCTTTTCGGACTAGTTCATTTCCAACCAAGGTATTCTCCTATCCAACTCGTACCTTTCGGTTCAGTTTGATGTTTTATCATATGCATTAAAGACAGCCCACATATGGTTTGTTATTTGTTATAACATTTTTTTTACGTACCAATGTGTTATTTTCAGACTAGTCAGTTTTACATTAGTACTTTTCGTACCAGTTCGATTTTTTTTTATTTGTATTTAAGACTACCCATAGTTTGTTAATTGTTATAATAATTTTGTTTTTCTTATATATTCAGGCCAGCCCGTGCTGGTTAAATTTTGGACTAGTACTTTTCGGACCAGTCTGTTTTTATCAAGTGCATTTAAACTTTAAGTCTGTTATTGTTGTAATAATTTTGATTTTATGTCTAGTGTTTTCGGCCAGACTAGTTCTTTTCGGACCAGTTTGATATTTAAGCAAAGGTTTATACCACCAAAGCTCTAGCTTAAGCTCTCAACACATTACTCATACCCACCGTCAAACATTTCGTGTTGACAAACATTTAACTAACCAAATATGAAATTTCGCCAGCGTGGCTTTGAGTGCCGTCAAGTGGCGGTGGTGCGCACACACAGGCAATGCAAAAAGAAAATTGTTAAGCTGCAAGCAATAGAGAAATGATAAAAATCAATTTAAATTCACTTTACGGCGTAGATAATTTAAAGTGTTTTCTTTGAGAAGGTGGAAGTGGCAAAAGTGAGTAGAAAATTTTATGGGTGAAAAAAAAAATTTGAGTGAAAAGTTAAATTGATTGTTGATCATGTAACAGAGATATTTTGATTTGTGCACTTTAAAGTGCAAGTGGTGGCTACATAAGTACATACTCTGCCATATCTCTGCCCACTACTGTTTGTCTTCACTCATTAAGTTCGAAAAACACCGCGCGACCTCAGACCAGCCGCGGCACACTTTGCTCCATTCTCAAACTCACTTGTGGTTTAACCTACTCAACAAGCGGTCTAAGTAAATACCTATTGGTCGTAGTGGGAATAACATTAAGTTTTTCTGATATATTTATATTATATATATGAGTATATACGTAAAGGACCTCGGAGTCTTTTAGTCTTTAGAAATCATTTCCAAAGCAAATATGACACAAAGTGAAGCAGAAGTAGAACTGTTAACCAAACTAAATGTCCTAAAGTAATATTAACAACAACAACAACGACAACAACAACAAGAAGTAGAGGAAAAGTCAACTCGTTGCCAGCCACACTGATTTGTTGCCCCGCCACTGCCGCTGCCGCTGCCACTGTCACTACTGACTGCTGTCGCCTTTTAACACTGTCCATTGCTGTCGTGTTGCGAGTTCAGTTGAGTTGAGTTGCCCTTAGCCAACGAGACGTCAACGCTTTCTTACATCTACTGATAAAATTCTAAAGAAAGTGTTGAACGCAAATGAAAGCGTACACTAAGGCAAAGCGTCGCCGTCACCGAGCTTCATCGGCCTCTTGCACCGAGTGCTAAACAGAGCGTTGAAAGACTAAGCATTAACATATATATATATATATGCATGTATATGTATATGTATAGGTATACAGCGTTGAATGGCAAAGGAAAGTGTCTAAAAAAGAGATATGAAATGTAAAATGTCGAGCTTTATGAAGTAATTTTACTTGACTGTCAGCGTGTTGGTGTGTTGGCGTTGAAGAAAACACAGTTGGAAATGAGTTGAGGAGCGCTGTGATTTATTGCATGCATGCATACTTAGCTATTATGCAGCAATGATATATTTTACTAGTATTTAATGAAAGTTGTCAGCAGCAATAGCAAACAACAACAACAACAGTAGCAACAACTCATTTAACTCATAGTGACAACATTTCTATTTGTGTTATTGTTGTTGTTGTTGAAAGAAGGTAGCCATTAAAATTATGACTTCACACGAAGTAGGTTAGACAGCAACAACAACAACCACCACCACAACAGCAACAACAACAACAATAAGTATAAATAGAGAAATATGAAGGAAAAGTAACAACTCAAAGTTAAATAGTCAACATTTATTGCGTGGCTTCAACTATCATTTATATTCTCACACACACATACGCACACACACATACACAAGTACACAAATGCAACCACACCAAATGAAACCAAATTTCTTTTCCTCCTTTTGCTCCTTAAACCGCCAAGAGTTAGAAAAATATTATTTAAAAAAATTCTTTTGTTGTACAATAGTTGTTGTTGTTGTGTGCAAAATATGAACTCTTTTGCTGTGGCATAAAATGTTGTTGACAGTCATTGAATCAAGATGAAAGTGCAATTGGTATTTTTTTTCTTTTTTTTTAATATTTACACATTCACTACTCATATACACATACATACACGCACACATACATACACACATATTTAGCTTCGCTTTCTTTTCACTTGTCACTATGAATTTTTTTCCGTGTCAGCTGTGCTTACAACATTCATTAGTTCGTGTGTTTTTCATGCTGCGTTGACATAAGTCAAATGTTTAAGCTCATTTAGGGAATTTAAAAGGCTTGAAATCCTTCCCCGTTGGAGCCTTGTGTGGAAGTCCACGCAGCCATTCGCCTCGGAATGGCCAGAAAGCATTCTTTTACATATGGTTCAAGCAACTCACGACTTTCGGGTCTTAGAACTAAAAACCACTGTTGGGGTAGACAACAAACATCCGTTTGGAGCCGAGGTAAGCCGAGAAGATGAAAACCTCGAAGTTTTGCTAAATAAATCAAGAAATATTCCACAGCTGAGTGACTCCACTTTTAATGGCGACCATTGCCATTGGGCCATGTCCAGACCCACAAATGTCTAGGCCTTTAAAGGCGTCCCAAAGAAGTGCAATGAACGGGAGTAGATCAGAAGGTGGGTCCTAGTGAAATCCACACAGAAAGAGAGCACAAATATGGTAGTGGATTTTTGGTCGAAGAAAACCCAGCACCGAGTCATAGCATTAACACCGGTAGATGAATTACTCTCCACAATCCGCATCAAAACGAAGTGCCTCAATGTAACGCTATCGATATTGGCGACCCGCGGTAAGGCATTCAAGAGTTACCGCGACAATCGAGTTTTTATACCGGAACAGCCCGGACTGTCAGTCCCGCAAAATTCTCCAAAAAGCACCTTGGGAATATTTTTGTGGTTGCAACAACAACAACAACAAAAACATGGACAGGGTGAACAAAGAAGATATCTTCAGGCAAACTGTAGGAAAATTTAGCCTGTAGATCGAGGCTTCCTACTTTCTGGATTGAAGTTGATCCTGGGTTGAGGTTGCCTGGAACCCCTAACATGGTTGTCTGGAATATCAGCTTCCGATAAAAGGAATTTCATCCAGCTACAAGGTTGGGATGGAATTTCAAGCTTCTCGCGTACCGAGAAGAGCTAGACAAGTTGTTTAGACACTGTTACGGCTTGAGAGTTTCAGGGTAAATTCCAACAAGGAACAAGAAAGGTGAGCTGGTCACGGATTTTCAAAGTAAACCGAGTTTATGGGAGCGGGGAACACTGCTGTAGCCCACTTAAATGCACTAATGAAGAAATTTCCTGAGATAGACATTTACCATGCGCACCGTGATATTTATGCTTCTGCATAAACTGATAGATGGAAAACGAAGCGGTTAGTTTTGATAGTGAATTAAGGCAAAACGATAACTTCAACAACAATGTCAGCATTGAAATCCAAGGCAGAATTATTCTCTCCAACGGATGCGAATTTGGATTGAGTTGACAATTAAAGTTTCTCTCACAAAGGCCGAACTTTACAAGTCCTGGCGACCTGACGATATGGCAATCTTGCCGATCTTCTCCTTCAATTTGTGGTATGTGGGCCAACAGTTTATTCTAAGCCGCATTCGAACGGCTGGCGAATTTTTAATACAGTTAGAAATACACTTGAAAGTCTTGACCTTCACTACTGAAGAAATTTGGACAGACCAGAACTCGAACCCTAGCTGCTGGAATGTCCGCACACAATGTCAATTACTCGGCTATTTGCGGACGCTAAATAATTAGGCTATAAATAGAATAAGGGCCAACCAAAGGTCAACCTTCAAGGCATTTTCAACGTAGAGCTGCAGACATTACAGACATGCCACACTGTTACAGACACTGAGAAAAACAGAATTCGATCTTTGGAGAACAATTTTTCGATCGATTTATAGTTTGCGAACGCCGCAGACGATTGAACGATGAGGATTTAGTTCAACGAATGAAAAGACGACTGCTACGTTAGCTAGGTCATATCGTCGCAACGAATGAACGCGTTTCCAGCTTTGAAAGTATTCGACGCGATACCCGCTTTGTAAGCAAAGGAAGGCGAAGACCTCTAGACTATTGGAAGGATCAGGCAGAGAGCAACCTGGTTTCACTTGGTATTTCTAACAGCAAAGAGAATGAAGGAATGACACGCTATTGCTGATTCAACAAAGGTTTCCTTCAATAAATTAATTGTTTCGTTGGCTGTATGTTGGAACCAAAGGTCATCCACAGCCAACATTTGACGTGCCCAATTAACCAAAAGTGAACAAAATTTGCTAGTGAAAATCTGCTGCGGTGACCAACTCGTTTTAGGCCCATTCACCGTACGTGGGACGCGCATCTGCGGTGCGTAACCGATCTTTGGTAACTGGGATTACTGACTCGGCAAGTCAATTATTTCCAATGATGCGTCTCGCGAATCGAACCACGTTGCGCCGAAGTAAGTATGTTCATTATTTTACCATTCAATAACCAAATTGAGTATAAATCATGCAACAGCTGACAAAAGCACCAATTCTGTTAGAAGGATTGCCTCATTGAAAATCACGCGTCTAAGAAAAACTCTGATTTTTTCGTTTTGTTTTTTTAACTCAATAGTTCACATATTATATATAAAACTATCATAAAAATTTATTTTATTTAATTTTTTGTTTTTATTCATCAAATTGCACACACAACAACAAGTACATATTGAGAAAACACATATAATTGTGTATGTATCTATTTTTTCACTTCACCATCTTGTGCCAAATAAGTTCAAAAATCAAGATGATGCCACCGCAAGCATAGCCAACTGCACACACGCACCAAGCCCAGCAAAAGAAGTCCATTTTCAGACTGGAACCCCAAACGTTCTCCTCCCGCATAAATTGCAACATACCCGCTGTGAAGGCCTCAGACTTTGCCTCGTGGTAATCCTTGCTTATCAGTCCCGTGTTGAATGACCATAACAAAGTTTCCTTCAAGGGCTCCACATATGGCGACTCCAAAGGCATAAACATGCCGCATGAAACATCCCAAATGACCTCCTGCAAAAATATGCGCACACGCTTCGCACGTAAATAATCCTGTTGAGCAGCGAAAAAGTTATAATAAAGCATGCTTGAGAGTAAAATGACAGAATTATTGAGGCTGATGTGTTGTTGCCATAACTCATTGCGATCAACAATTTTTACCTTTCGCAACAATCTTGGATCATCGATGAAGTATGGTGTATCGGTTCTAGTTAACTGTATGGCATAAGGTGATGCCAAGATATCTTCGACGCTATTCAATTGTGCCTCGAAGACGCCAGTTGTCAGGAAACTAACGATCAATTTGTTGTAGTAGTTGATCAAAATGAAGGCGAGCATGTTGTGACAGGCGTACATAAGCGTCAGGCAGAAGTGATTGTGATATTGGTAACCATAGCAATTGGAGCTCTGCTGAAGTAAGGCAAATAATTCCATTGTAATATCGATGAGCGTGAATAGATAGCGTAGAAGTGTTCGACGCAGTTGAAGAAAGCACAGACGCACCTTGGAGGTCTGTCCATTCAGTGAGGAAAGGGATTTCTTCTGCTTTATCCTGATCTCACCTCTGCGCTGGCACTGAGCGATGCGCCGCAGCCGTTTAATTTTTACCGCAATCACTGTGGCAAATGTGAAGAGCATTGCCGCAAGAAGCAAATACGAGAAAAGCAAACGCCACACCTCCGGGCGAAAGGGTCTCACGATATAATCTCTTGAAGCGAGCGGTCTTGCATATGGCACACGAAAGTAGTGTGGAAATAGAAATGGTGTTTCACTGACATGCCACTTAGCAACGTCCGTAAAGTAAACATGCACCGAAATATCAATTTTACCCGCTCTCATTGCCTCGAATATATTCTCATATACGAGCGTGCCCGGATATGGCGGTGGCAGTATAACCTCTTCGATGGTCGCATTATGGATTTGAACAAAATGTAGAAATAATTTATACATCATGCCCGACGTCTGCTGGCGTCCGTACCGATCTGTATAACGGAATACCGATGGCGGATCGTACGCGAGCGGCGTGCGGAGTATTTGACCTTGAAAATCGTGCGGTAGATTCGAACGAAAGTAATCTGCCGTACGCTCAACGGCTACCAAATGCACAGCGGGAAAGGGTGAATAGCTGGTCAGTGTTAGAGTATTTTCATGCGCCATCAATGACATTACCTGCGTATAACCAGATTGCCAACACCAACGAAAGAGCTCGAGTTGAGATTGTTCATGGCTCAGTGTGGCTGGTAGTATGAGTAGCACTTTTAGATGTCTTAAGCGCATTAATAGCTCATTTAATATAAGCAATAACTCAGTTTTGTTCTGTTCGCTTAGTAAAACGATGGCTAGTAGGCTCTTATTGTAGTTGTAAATTAATGTGAAATTCGTTTTTTGTCGATTAACCAAAATTGTTGGAGTTCCTTTGTTTATATATTCCTGGATTTGCACTTCACTTTTGTTGTAAATAAATATGTTTGTCTCAATATTGCCATGTTCATTTAATTCTTTTACTTTTTCGCGTATAGCTGTGATATTTCCATGCGCACTGCCTTCGAAAGGTAAGGAAAGTAGGCATATTAGCCAGATTACTTTGAATTCAACGTCCATTGTCCACATGCTTCCTGTTCTGCTTGACTTTTGTCAGTGTCGTGTTGGACTCAAGCACTAAGTAAGTTAGCCGAAGGCGTAACCCATTAATGATGCTCCTTTGAAAACGCTTAAAAGTATACTCTCAGTTGCAACTCATCATCCATTGTCTGTTATGCTTTGTCATTGTGGGAAATTATGTATTGCAAGTGGTGTTGTTGTTTTGTATGATATCCCAAAATTGGATTTTATTGCCTATAGTCGCGTTCCTTTAGTCCGATTCACAACAGAACGTCATAAGTTATTTAACAACCCAGACGCTTTCTTTCGTTCACTGCCACTTTTTGCTTAGAAATGAAATGGACGCTCATTAGATACACTTTTTAACCGCCGAAGCTGTTTTCACCCATAAATGGTTTTCCAACAAAATGGAGGTTTATTATTGGTATAGTTTATTCTTAGCCGTATCCGAATGGCTGTTGGATTTAAGTGAAGCGCTTTTGTTACAAACCACAATAGGAAAAATAAAATTTCAGTTGCTGGTTGGGCTAGGACTCGAGCACTGGGCTTCTGAACGCTGGTACGTACTGGTAACCACTCGGCTATTGCGAAAATGAAATTGCTATTTATAAGAAATTACGAAATTGGTTCTCAATGTGTGTTGTCTCATTGAGAAGTTTTTGTTTTGGACTGCTGTCACTTGATTTATGCCCACTTTGGTTTGACCTTTCATAATGAGCAGATCTAAATAAGGGTTCGGTTCGAGCGTTGGACTTGTTTTCACCTCATGTTTATTCTTATGTATAATGGGCCTGCTCAGAGACACCCTTACAGTGCGCAAAGAGGCATGGGGCAGAGTATCGAAAAAGATCTGAATGAGTCTTTCCGTTATCGCTTGCAAGAACTGAAGCTGTTCCCATCCACGTTATCATTATCAAAAGCCCCAATGTTTCTGTAAATGGGTCCCGATTTTCAGAAAATATTACAGATCTTATGGTAGCTTGGCTGTCAGAATAATTCGTAATTGATTGTCTTACAACCTGTCTTGGATTGCTGTGGAATGGATATTAATCGGCTCCTCCAGCCACTGTGCGAGAAATAATCGTTAAAAATTAGCCATATACTCGTATGTGTGTCTAGAGCAATCAAATTGAGCAGAGTTTTCAGTACTTTTGCGCGAGCAGTTTGCTGAGAGTAGTTTTTTTCGAGCGTCGTCCACCATACGGTTATGACATAAAATGCGGTTGGTCTAACTAACGCTATATATGTATATCTAGTAGACAATATTCGTTTTTACTAACAACATTTGTTCCCAATATCCAATGGGCCTGAAAGTATGCATTAATTTTTGTTTAAGCTATGCTCCAATTGCCCTTAACACACAGCTAAGCAAGTAGACGGCCAGGTAAGAAAGCAAAAAAACACAAAGTAAAAAACCAAAATACCAAAAAAAAAAAAAAAAAAACAATAAGTGGAGGTGAATGAAAACAAAAACAAAAAGCAAGCAGCAAAAAACCAAAATCACATTACAATGAGCGCACGACGACGATCTTTTCGCTACCTGCGCCTGAATCGGCGGCATGGAGCCCTGAGAGCTAACCAAAAAACGAGGCACAGACAGTGTTGGCGTTTGATCTGCAGACCAACAGAACAAACTATGAGTACAATTAGCGCACGTAGCCGCCGTATTGGCAGCAAATACGCTCAGCAGTCGCAACGGATTCGCGAGAGTGAGCGCAACGTTACCAATGTGTTGACGGCAAAACGCGAAAAAGGCCAAAATAGTGAAACACATAAAGGGCCAAAACGTTAGAGGGAAGGGAAGAAGACGCTTGCATTGAGTTGTGGTGTGTGGCATGAAAGACAAAAACTATTTGTGTTAAAATGTGTGCTGAAGGAATTTTGTGAGAAATGACAAAAAAAAAATCCTGATACGTGAATAATTTCAATATTCTTGTGGTAATGAGTAGAAATGTGTTGCAAATAGTTTGCTGTATATTTATTAATTTGTGTTTTTTGTTAAATTTTGCGGTATTTTGAACCAATTCTTGAAGTAGAAAACCGCATGATTGACTGCGTTGTTGTTGTTTTTGTTTGATTTTTGTGCTTGCGGTTGAGCTTCACTTTGTGAGCAATAAAATGCCGAAACTCAATGTTAAAACTGGTTTTTTGAAAATTGCGCGCACGCATGCGCACACAGCTTGCGGACAGATTTTGTTGATTACTGGTGGCGTTGGAGGGGTTTTGTTTACAATTTACTATTTCTGTGATGGGAAAAATTATTAAGACTCGGAAAAGAGAACTAGCATGCATAAAAAGAAATAAAAAATAATAATTTAACATAAAATGTAATAAATTACCAAAAAAAAATGTAATTTAATAAATCAAAAATTAAATTATATGAAATAAAATAATTTAAACTTAATAAACTAAAATAAAAGAAAATTAAATATAAAATCAAACAAAACTAAACAAATAAAAAAAACAATTATATGAAAAAATAAATAAAATTAAATAAACCAAATTTGATAATTTTATTTATGAGAAAAAATTAAATAACATAATTAAATGAATTAAAATAAAATAAACTAAAATAAAATAAAATAATATAAAATAAAATAAAATGAAACGAAATGAATTAACATAAAATAAAGTGGAAAATATAAATAATAAAATAATAAATAAAACAAAATGAAAGAAAATTAAACTTAATTAAATTAACGAAAATAAGAAAATAAATCAAAGAAAAAAATAAAAAAATTAATCAAATAAAATAACTTAATAAAGTGAAATTAAACAAAATAAATAAATATAAATATATAAAAAAATAAATTAAAGTAAAACAAAAAATATGCATATTTTATATATACATACAATATATTATATAATATAATTAAAGAAAATTTAATAAATTAAAAAAAATATTAATAATAATTAAAAATAATAATTAATTAAATACAATATGGTAAACTAAATAAACTCCCCCAAAACTTTAAGATGTCTGCCAACCAGCAGACAACAAATATTTTAAAAACAACAACAACTACAGTAAAAAGTTGCACAGCGCACGTGCTACTCTACTAGCCACATACACACTCCATACCATCAAAACTAGGCTCAAGTGAGAAACGTGATCGCACAAGAAATGATTAGGTGCCGCTGGCGCTGAAGAATCAAGCAGACACAAAAAAAAAACAAAATAAAATAAAACTCAAAACAAAACTAAATAGAGATTATAAACAAAGAAAAGACTTAAGCAGCAAGCGTCTGCAACCACAAAAATAAACTATTAAAACTAACAGTTAGCGTGTGCTGTGGAGCGTATAAGTGCAGTGAAGTAGTAGTGGCAGTGTTAGTTGCAACATTAATTAACAGACATCAATTACATCAACAATAACATCAAAAAAAAAAAAAACATCGTATAAAAATAATAGCGTCAAACAACTGAGACCATTCGCTCAGTTTGTCACTAAGTACGGTGCAACAACAATGGGCACACGTGTTCCACCACCTTGCCCCACACCATTACACTGCGATCAGGCCGCTATGGCTGGCCTGCCACAGCTCATTACCGACTTGCAACGTCTATCTGAGGATCAAGAGAGTGCCGATTTGGTATTTATTTGCGGACGTGAAGAGGAGAGAATTTATGCGCATCGCATTTTACTGATGGCACGGTAAGTGGGCGTGTTAGTGGAGGTACATACATAGATAGTTATTGCTTTGCCATAGTAGTGTTGTTGCTAGAGCGAAGAAGTTGGTCTAAAGTTGGCAAAAAAGGAATGTAATGCGATCTCTTGCATGCTTGTAATATTTGTTTCTGCCTTAAGCTTCGTCAGCGCTTGTGGCAAGTAGCTTTGCGGCTCGATTACGCGTGCATTGCGTGTTGTAATTTTTTAATTATTCGTCAACTTTAGCATGTACAATAAATACATTTATGAAATTAATTTTAATTGTATTTTTTTTTTTGGTGTTGACTTTTGTGGCGTTAATGTTTAATTCATTTGCTTTTTTACGCTTTTTTAATTGTTAATTGCCGACTGGCAATTGTATTATTTACATTCATATTTATTGCACCAGCAAATGTGAATGAGGTCGACTGGCAGGCAGCGAATAGTGTTTGACCGTAGGTGGTAGGCGTTGGTTCACATCTAAAAGCCGACGTAGTGGTGGATATTTTGCAATTCCGACGTAAATATTATCACAATTTCGTGTTTTTTTTATGTATATTTCTCGAACATTAAATGAGTTAATTATGTTTATTACGGTTAATTAATTTTTCAGTTTTTTTTATTTATATCAATTTCAACATTTTATTCCACTTCTGATTTACACACGTATGTATGTAAAAGCTTACCTTACACGCTATATATATGCACTACAAATATTTTACAATCACCGAGTTAAAAATTATAATGCTTTCATTTGGAAAATTCGAGTTTAATTATTGCACTTACTTTTATTTATTTATTTATGTTTTTTTATTACAGCTGCAAGAGCTTTAAGACTGCAAAGCGTGGTGAAATCTGTCGTATTCCCGGCTGCTCCGTATCACCAGCGGCGCCGGGGACGCCTACACCAGTGCGCCTGCCACATGTCAATCCGGATGTATTTCGCCAGTTCATCGTTTACGTATACACAGCGAAGGTAAAACATTGTTGTGATCGAGTATAAAAAGAGACATTCAATTTAATTTTTCATATACATATAATTCGAAGATATTGCTTCAAGACTCACGTGTTTTCGAAATGATGACGCTTGCACAAGACATGGGTGTGGAAGAATTGCGCGCCGCCTGTGAAGATCATGTAATTTCAACGCTGTCGGTTGACAATGCATGCACTTTTCTTACTTCCGTCATGGAAATACACGAAAAAGCAGGTAAGAGAAATTCAACTAATTGGAATATAAATTAGAGCAATCCTTTGCCGTGGATATGGATGTAGCTTTTTTTTAGGTATTCATAATATTTCTAATGATATGCTGGCGTAGTTCTTGTGATAAAAAAAAATTGCTCATCGTTATATGTACGTTTATAAAAATATCCTCGTTGAAAGTTCACCATCATGCTTTAGGGTCGTTGTATAATAAATTCTGTGAGGTCAATTGTCTACTATACTCTTATAAGCATGCTTTTTAATGACTCATGTACCCGAATAATCTGGATGTTATAGTTGACCTCGCACGATACTAACCATTTCTTTGCAAGCCCTCACCATCCTTTCACTCAACAGACCGTTTCATGGTGAACAGAAACATGTCTCTTTTGGCCACTTTCTTCTCATCTATGGAGTTTTTTCTAGCTTTTTGAGTTATTTTAGGTCGTATACAGGGTTTAAAGGGTTTCCCAATAATAGGTGTTATCTTAAATAGCCTGCTTATTCGGCAAATTAAGCTCTATTTTTTTGGCAAGTAAAAATCTAATAAATTGGAACAATATACGCTTCAATAACGCACAGAAATTATTGAAATTCACTATAAAATTTAATCGAAAAATCATCTAGACATTCCATTTCAATGGATATGTCAATAAGCAAAACTCTCCCATCTGGTACCCAGAAAACCCAACATATATTATTGAAAAGCTTCCCCACGCTCAACGTGTCACTGGCTTGTACGGTTTTGATCTTAATTTTTGGAAAATGAATATCTTGCGCTATTGAGAGATTATCAATAATTTTTTATGGTCGGAATTGAATGGTATTGATCTGGATAACGTTTACTTCCTACAAAACCGCATTACTTGCCACACAAGTAACAAAACCAATTGATATTTTAAGGAAAAAGCAATTTCAAATGCATACTAATATATATATATACAAACATACTTACATACAAGCATTAAAAACTAAACTCTGTGCGTTGTTTGGTTTTTGCGCAATTTTTGCAGGAATGGATGTCTGTTGTATATGCATAAGTTCTAATTGGAATTATTTTTTGTTAGTTCCAATTTGCGCCGGCAAACTTTCAAAACAACACATTTCACTTCAAGAATAACATTTCACTTCAAACTCTGCGCTTAAGTTATGCTTTTATACAGCTTTCTCACTTTTTTTTATAAAATTTAACTGAAAATATTTCATATGACGCACGGGATGATTAAATGAACGGAAATGCATGTGCTTGTAAGGGATGCCAGATTTGCGGATATGTTTAGTTTTTGTTAAACATCAGATGACACTGGCAGCTCAACATGGTTATATAATTATAAGGAAAACATACATTCTGATTTGTTATTATATATTTCATATAGTAAACAAAGTAAATCAATTTTCAATATTTAATTATTTTAGATTTGGTTTCTGTCTTTACTATTTTGTGTTTAACCCCAGAGTATTTTTTGGCAGCGCCATCTGTCGGAAGAATTCTATTGCGCCAGTTGAACAAATATGCCTTGAATAAAACAGAGCGCGATAGTGTAAACACAAACTCAATTATTATGTAAAAATAAGTAATTTTTTCATGACGAAGCAAGACAGAGTAAAAATCTCCCATTTGAAAGTGTTAACAACACTGTTAGGTGTCCAATTTGACATTTATCTCGGCTGCTGTCAAACGATTTGCTAGTAAACGACGCCGGCAAACGTTTCTGTATTAAAAAATAAATAGTATTTAATTAAAAGTTAAAAGTGCGCAAAAAATCGTCTTCAAAATGTCCTTTAAAGGCAATACTAAAGTCCAAAAGGTGATGGTTCAACCCATCAATCTGATTTTCCGTTACCTGCAGAATCGTTCACGCGTACAAGTTTGGTTGTACGAGAATGTCTCACTCCGCATCGAGGGACACATTGTTGGCTTTGATGAATACATGAATCTGGTGCTGGATGATGCTGAGGAAGTGTGGGTAAAGACGCGTACACGCAAAAATCTTGGACGCATTATGCTGAAGGGTGATAATATTACATTGATTCAAAATGTGAGCCCATCAAAAGACTAAGCGCAGTGTAAAAAAGTGAGGTTATGTGCTACATTTACCATGGAAAGGGCGCCGATTTCTTTCGATGTAGCATTTTCCTTATTTCGGCGACTGACGGCATGACTAGGTTTAAATATTATGCATAAAATTAAACAAATAATAGAAATTCATTACTCCAATTACTTTAACTGTATGCAAAGTGTATATTTTTTGGTATTAATGCACCAACAACAGCAACAACTCAGGTTGCATTTAGTGTACGAAACAATATGAGCTCTTTCCAATTAAAGTAAAAAAGAAAATAACTTAGTATATAAACGAATTGTAATTGAATTTAAGGTTTTGCTCTAATTCTGATAAATATGTGAAAAATAAATGTGAATTATGCGAAAAATTAAATTGAATGTGTTTCATTGTTTCTGGAGAACAGTGCGTTTATGCTATTCAACGAATGGTGATTGTAATTTACTAATCTTTATATATTAAAACCGATTTTTTAGGTGCAAAATGTGCAGCTTCATTCATGGAACGCTGTATCATTTATATAGGCGAGAATGCCGGCGAGTGCGCTAAGACCAATGCCTTTCTCAACTTAACCAAGGACGCATTAGTCAAGTTAATCTCATCAGATTATGTGAGTTAGTAACATTTACTTTAAATTTTCGTATATGAAGTGTTTATATTCCCTTTCTAGTTTTGTCTCGAAGAGGAGGACGTTTGGCGTTGTGTACTTGCCTGGGCAAAAAACCAAGCAGGCGTCACACAACCCACTGCACATTGGAGTGAAGAGGAACGTGCCCGCGTTTGTCAGCATCTATCTGGCGTAATGTGCCATGTACGTTTGCTATTGATTGATAGTCAAGTATTCGCCGAGGAAGTGGAACCCACCGGTGCTGTTCCTATGGAATTGTCCTTGGAGCGTTATCGCTATGCCGCTTTACATTCAAATAAAGGTGCTGGTGGTGGTGGCCCACCAATGTTGCCCTCAATACCTGGTATGACTGAAGACGATAAGCGTTTGCAACCGCGTTTGACCGTTAATATGTTTCCGGGCTCACAGTTGCTCCGAAATGATAAGTTGCACTTGCAGAGCGTGCTCAATGGTTGGTAAGTGAAGATGCTTTGGAGGGGATATAAATAAATTGGATGCTGGCGGCCTTAGAGCAACGGAATGTTACATTATTTCTTTTCTGACTTAGGTATGGCATGCCCAAACAAACTTGGCGTTTGGTATATCGCGCCTCTACGCATGGCTATTCATCAGGCACTTTTCATCGCTATTGTGATGGGGTAGCACCCTGTTTTGTTATTGGCATTGTATGAAAATTACCTAAAACATAAAACTGAAAATGAAATAAAAATTTCTACAAACTTATCGTATTTAGGGTTCACGGGGCGAACTAAGTGGCGGCTACACAGATGTAGCTTGGGCAAAAACCAGTCGTAAAGGTGGCTACATACATTCTGAACGTGCTTTTCTCTTTGCTCTCAATCCCGCAGGTGGAGATCCACCGGTCAAATTTGATATAATCAAAAAACCATATGCTATTTGCTATCATCCAGAGTAAGATTAACCAAATTCGAGCATAAATATGTATAATTTAATGTTTTTTTTTTAATTTAATTTTTTTTTTTTCAATAGTTGCGGTCCTATATTTGGCGCTGGCGCTGATCTGCTCGTCACCAACAATTGCAATACTAATATGGAATCATATTCGAATTTACCACATTCATATGATGGTCCAAATGCTTCGTATATGACATTATTTGGTGATTACAACTTTACAGTGGTTGATTATGAAGTTTATACTTTAGCCACAACTTCAGCTGTTGGTATTGGTGGCGCTGGAGTTGGCTCCATAAATAATAATGGCAACAACAATAGTCATTCTGGCAATAATTCTAGCAACAACAATAACAATATAACTTATAATAACGGTGGTAATAACAATGGCAGCGGAAATTTGACATCTAGCGCCGGTGGTGGTGGTGGCGTCAATAATGCCGGTGTAGCTGTTGGCAGTGGTAGCGGTGGTGGTGGTAGCGGTGGCATGCATAAACCGAAATATGATAGATATTAATGGCGTACAGTTTTTCTTAATGAATTTCCATTTTGTGATGAGTCTGTATTTTTGTGCCTTCACAGCCTTTACTTTATTCGTAATTTCCTGAACTTTGTAATTTGATAAATTAAAAAATCACAATTCAGCTATGGCGATTATTAATTAGTATTTCTTAAATATTTACTATTAAAATCTTAAGTTTCTATACTTTTTAATTTGTTTGTATGTTTTTATTTGTGAATCAAATGCGGGGAGAGGTCGCAAGATATTTCAGATTAAACAAAAATGCTATTGAGAAGACAAGACACAACACATACTTATGTACATATATCTAAAAAGAAATAAAAAAGTGAATTGACTCAGAAAAAACCACTAATTTCGCTGTCCTCTTCTCATACAAGAGTAGTCATTTTGCACATATATTTACAAACATGTTTACACAAGTATATGCCACTGAATGTATGTAGTTGCATGTATGCACTTCAGTTTTTAAATAACTGCTACAGCAGCAACTGGCAACTGTTTTTTGCCGCCGTGTTGAGAACACAAATTTTCCATTATTTAAAGTTATGCGAAAAGGACACGCGACAACTCAACTGCTCGAGCACACTTGTTATAGGAAATCCTGCTGTTACAATAGCAACAACAATTGCATTGCCTGTAGTCTATAGGTGTTTGTCTGTTGCCGGTGATTTGCAACGTACAACCGAATCAGGTGTTAAATACGCGAGACACATAAAATACAACCCAACACAAGTAGTATGTAGATGTATGCAACAAGCAACCAAATGCGGCATGTTAAGACGTAACAAGCGCGCCAAAAAAAAAAAACGAAGGAAAAAATTTTTTCATAGTTTTTTAGCCGCTTTTCTATTGGTTGTACAACAAATGTTTATCTTTTTAGACTTTTTGTGGCTTCAGTTGCAGAAATACTGCAAGTAAGTGACAATTTATAGCTTAATTTCACTTTTTGTACTCAACAATGAGTGAAATTTTTTGTCAGCACAGAAGACTTAAGCAACGAACCGATAAAAAAAAATGAAAGCAAATAAAACGAAATAAAATGAAATTAATATAAAATAAAATAAAATCAAATTAAGTCAAAATAAATTAAAAAAATAGAAATAAACTTAATTTAATATATGAAAAAAAAAATAAAAAAAAAATTAAAGAATATGAAGATATTAAAAAGGTTAAAAAAATAAATTAAATTAAAAAAAGTTATTTATAATAAAATTATTTAAAATAAAAATTAATTAAATTAAAATATAATTAAATAAAGGGGAAATAAATTTAAAGACATAAGGTAAAATAAAATAAAATTAGAAATAAAATTAAACTAAATTAGAATTAAATGAAAACACAAAAAAATGAAATAAACTAAAACAAACAAAACTAATTAAAGTAACATAAATTATGCTAATTAAAATGAAATGAAATTGAAATATATAAACTTAAATTAAAAGAGTATAAAATAATTAAACGTTTTACAAAAAGTAAAAATTAATAAATAAAATAGAAAAAAAAAATAAAGTAATTTAAAATTAAAAATAAAACAAAATGAAAAAAAGTAAGAAGGAAATGAAATAGAAAAGATTTGAGAGAAATAAGGTGCAAATATGAAAATGAAATTAAATAATAAAATAAAATAAAAATTAACCAGAATTAGAAATAAAATCAGAGAAAATAAGATAAATTAAAATAAATCAAATAATAAGAAAACTATTAAATAATATAAATTATTAGAAAAAAAAAAACAATTTAAATTAATCCAAATAAAATAAAATGAAATTAAATTATATTCACATTAAAATTAAAAAATATATAAAATAAAAGAAAAAATGCATTAAAATGTTAAAATTAAAAATAATAGTATAATAATAAAAAAAATTTAATAAAGAAAATTAAAAAGAAGAGCACAAAATGTTATTAAATAAAAGGAAAATGAAATAAAAAGGAAACTGAAAGAAATAAAGTGAAAATATAAAAAAAAAGGAATTATTTAAAAAAAATTAACAGAAATTAGAAGAAGGAATATAATAAATATTAAACCAGAAACAAAAATAAAATAAAATCAGAGAAAATAACAATGAAATAAAATAAAATAAATAAAATGTAAATGAAGTGAATTAAGAGCTAGAGAATTAGAAATTTCAAATAATCGTGAATCTCGAATCGAAAAAAATATGCTTTTTATAACTAACATTATAAAAACAATGTAATTTAATCATCAATAAATCGTATTTACTCTATCATTTCCTTTTATTTAGCGCTAATTTCGTGTTGAAACTGAAACGCAACCTCATTTAATGCCCTTAAAATGTGATTAACATAACGCATGCGCAATTAAAATGTCATTAGTAGACACAGAAATGCGAAAATAAAAATTTACAATTCAAGTGCCGAAAATCAGAGCTTTGCACGCAATAATGATTGATATATTAAGAAAAAAATTAATATTAAAACAAACTAATGGACTAGTGAACTGCGTTAAATACACAAAAATGTCTACCAAAGTGATTTGTAAGTGGCAGATAATTTCGATGAATATTTTATACTTAGCATAGCACGTGCTTTCGTGTGTTTGGAAAGAGCCTGTAGGTGGTTCTTGAAAATATTTTTTCTATTTTCTTATTTAATATTTATTTTAATTTTGAATTAATAGCTACATATTTTAAGTGATATTACAATAAAAAGTTGCTAAAGATTGTCGATTGTTTACTATTTTTTTTATTTAATGTTATGAGGAAATAAAAAAATTAAATTAAATATAAAAATAAAAATAATAAAAATAAATAAAATCAAAATAAAGTAAAATAAAAACAAAATAAAATAAATTAAAATTAAGTCAAACTAAATGTTATGAAATAAACTAACAATAAATGAAATAAAATAGAATTTTATTAAATTAGTTTAAATAAAAAATTAAATAAATAAATAAAATGAAACAAAATAAACAGAAATAATATAATATAAAATAAAATAAATTAAAATAAAATAAAATAAAATAAAATAAAATGAAATAAAATAAAGTAATAATATAAATTTAAATCGAACTAAAAATAAAAGGATGAAAAAAATAACATATAAAAAATTAAAAAAAAAAGAAATAGAATAAAATGATATAAAAAAAGATTAAATAAAATGAAATTAAATGTATAAAAAATGTGAAGAGTCGTGAATCGCTTCTTCCTTTGATTGCTATAAATACCCTCAAGTCTGTCTATGAATATATCGCAACACTTAAATATAGTAAGAAATCATGCAAAACTCCCAAAAGGCAATTATAATTAAAAAATTACCAAATAAATCCACCCAATTAAACGCCCCAGCCGTGCTAAAAGCCGCTTTCCCAACAACCATTTCACATTTTTCATAAATGTACGCACACACCTTTGCTTTGAGCACGTACACGTGTATGCACATATAAACACATGCCCAGTACGCTTGCGCTAATCGCAAACATTCTCCTCACCACCAATATATCGCGGCTCTTTTGCAAATTTGATTGCATTCGCAGTCAAATGCAGGTTTTAATGCGCGTAAATAAATCGTCACATATCGAAATGGTTGTAACGGCTTTTTTTCTGTTTCTCTCTCTCCCCCATCAAATACTGAATAATGGTTTGAGGTGTGTGCACAGGCGCAGGCGCAGGCGCAGATGGTGACTCGGTCAGATATGAGGTGTGGACATGTATGCTTTCTGCTACCAGTATACGTACATTATTGTTGGTGTTGTTATTTTTGTTGTATGTGTGTGGATATCTATTGGCGTATCATATAGCGGCTTAGCGCATTAATTTTGCATATTGTCGCTCATATAATTGCATATTTGTGTGAAAATTTCACCTGTTTGTGGGTAATAAATTTGAAAATGACCGCAAACAAAAGATTTAAGCGACAAACGCGCGCGCTCGTGTCTGTGTGTGTGTATGTCTGTGGAACAAGCTATACACAGCTTTAAAGAAAGAAATCGTTGACACCTGAATTGATAGCTTGAATCTGTTGTTTTTATTGTTTTCTTTTTTTGTTCACTGAAAAGTGATGATTACGGGAATTCGCTGTAAATTTCACTTTATGAAGATAGAATTTTTATTTTTAGGTGCATAATATTGTTGCTGTTGTTGTTTTTATTGTAAGACGGTACGACTGCCATTGTCCTGGTTTGATAAACATCAAGGAGTTGTTAGAAGATCCGGACTGTGGAAGATCTGTCGAGTTATGGATGCTTCTGAAGCCAGTCATGTCTTGCCGCGGGTAATGTTTTTATATCGGGTTATTGGTTGGAAGACTGAGATTGACGACCTGATCGCAAGCGGACGCACCGAGGTCGGTGAGGAGTCTAATCTCAGGGTGTTCCCTCGTGCATTCCAATTGAGGGTTTTGCAAAAAGTTCGTTCGATTCCATTAAATTCTTATGGAGTATTTTCGAAGGGAACCGGTTGGGTTTGCGCATTATGGTCTTAGCGATAGCTTAAATAAGGTGAAACTGGTTTCCTACGATGAAATGCAAAACTCCTGCTATAAACCCTTCAACTTTGAGGAAGGGGGCTATAAAAACATGTCTAGGCCTAAAATCTGCCTTTACAAACATTTTCAAGTCTCTCTTTAAAGCGGGTAAGTACCTTTTACCTGGATTTGATGGAATATCAGTTGGCAGTGGCGGACGGTGTTCGTTTAAGGGAATAATAAAGTTTTGGAATCACTTCGAAGATACACTTTCATACCGGCGATGGTGGTGTCTTCACAAGAAATGCTTCAGTTAATTCTCGTCTAGGCTTAAGGACCATTAAAGTACCTGCAGGAGGTTTCTGCCACAATAAATCCCTCTTTATTGACATGGACAGCAAGTACCAACTGAAGCCAGCGGCTGGTACTGCATCGAATACACTCAGAGCTGAAGTTTGGTCATCCATTCGGACAACATGCCCAACCAGCCTAGCGGCTGTTATCTTATACCTTGTACTAGTCTTGGCTGTGACTAAATAGTGGTCTAACTACTTATATTTGGACCTCGGAGTCTACTCGAAACATTCCGTCCGTCTATCACAACATGGTCGACTTGGTAACGCATACAACCATGTGGCTTTGATGAGTTCTTGTATGTTGAGCCCTATTTCGATCACCGATGAAATCGATCAGCTTTAGTCTATAAAGGCTGAATTTTCTAACTGTTGTGCCGGAGATACCATATTTCATAGCGCCCGTTGGTGTG